CAGCTAACTGAGTGATAAAGGAGCCTCAGATTAATGGCTTATTTTTCTTACTTAGCACAGTTCGGAGGTGTAGGGCAAACCAGCTACCCAAGTTGACCCTAGTCCTAGTGACCATGCACCAAACGAAAAAGAACTCGGGCTTGGTCAGAGTACCGGAGCTATCCTTCCTACCTGAGAAACTATAAGCCATGAATCTATGTAAATAACGATAGGCGGCGCTCTTAAGATAAGAAGCCTTAGACTGACTGGGGTCATAGCATTGCTGGTCAACTGACAAGCCACTCCAATAATCAAGGTAATGAGAGAAAAATGGCTCTATATATTCGCACGCACTGTGCATATACTCCTCACTCTGGGAGTAAGGAATATCAATAAACCCAAGAGCCAAATTAAACTCAGTGATAGACTGGTTAAACTCTCTACCCATTAATCGAAACCTCACAACCCCAGGAGTGGTAACGGAGAATTCATCAGGAATATTAAATTCAAAGGTAGCATAGAATTCCCACGTGAGTTCAGTAAAAGCAGGTTGATTGATAGAAGCATAGCGGGCCCAACCTACATTAGTCAAGTGCTGCGCGACCTCATCCCTCAGGCTTAGCAAATCAAGTGTAGGGCCATGGAGGTATTTACAAGGAATTATCTTCCTTGTGCAAGCCGAGGCATACCGCTCCTTGTCGGTAGCCCGGGTGAAGGTCAAATGACCGCCAAAATGGGCCGGAGAGGAGATGTGAACCTCCCTATTCCGTCCAAGGCGGGTACGGGGCCCTCCAGGCCCAGTCGATGGGGCAGGTCCCTCTAAGGGGACCGTAGGTTGAGGGTTTGAGGTGGATGGCTTGTTCTTGCCTTTGGTTTTTGGTTTAGTCATTGGGGATTGGAAAAGAGGGCAAAGTCAAGGTGAAGTTGGGTAAAATGGAGCGGTGGTTAAACAACAAAGCAAAGGGTCCCCAAACACAGCTCCAAGCACCAACAATTAAACAAATAACAACCAAACAGCCCAAGAATCAATTAAGTAGATAAACAATAAAAATTACACCCAAGAACTAATTAAACATGTGAACAGCAGACTACTCCCCAAACACTACCAAATCAACCCAAATCACTTAATTAGACTAACGCAGCAAAGTTCCCCCCAAAAAAATAATTAAAGAAACCACCAGAGTGAAAACTTTCCCCCAATATCTCTGATTGAACACCAAATTTCACAAATAGACCACAATCAACCACAGATATATCACAGCACCCAAAATAACACACAATTTCTGTCCTCAGCTAGCAAATCAAAAATCTGGCCTCAGCTAAGAAATTAAAATCTGGCATCCGCTAAGAAAAGCTAGTAATCTGGCCTCAGCTACTTAGTGACAGAAAAATAAAGAAAGAAATCACCGGAGGTTTTTCGACTGTCAGTCAGAGTGGTGGAGAAGAGCAACGCGCATGGCCTTTGCTGGTTCTGGAAGTCGCGCGCGTGCGCGCTGGTGTCGCGCGCCTGGCTGCTGGAGTCGCGCGCGCTGGACTGCTTGAGGGCCGCTGGTCTGCGCGCGCGGGCTGCTGCTGGGTGGATCTGGACCAGCGCAGGAGGGAAAGGCAGCGGCGGACTGGGCTTGGCTGTGCGAGCTGCTGGCGGCCCACGGACTGCGCTGGAGTTGCGCGCGCTGCCAAGCTTCTGATCTGCGCGCGCGGGCTGATTCTGGCTGCACGCTGGCGCGCGGCAAGCGAGGCCGGGCGAGGCTGGGCTGGAGCTCCCGCGCAGCTGGCGGTGGCGACGCGCTGGGCGGGAAGCGCGGGTCTGCACGCTGAGGTGCAGGCGCGCGCGGCGGCGTGCGGTGCGGCGGCCGACCAAGCCAAAGAAGGGAAAAGGGGAAAAGAAAGAAAAGGAAGAAGAAAGAAGAAGAAGAAAAAGAAAGAAAAGGAAGAAGAGGAGAAGTAGGTCTACGGAATTTTTTTTTTTTTTTTAACGTGACCACCTGGCGTGGGCACGCCCAACTGCTGTGGAGTTCGCAGAACCTGATCGAAAATTTCCTTCCCTCGAACGTGACCACCTGGCGTGGGCACGGCTAACTACTATGGAGTTCGCAGAACCTGAGCGAAAATTCCTTTCCTCAGGCGTGACCACCTGGCGTGGGCACGCCCAACTGCTGTGGAGTTCGCAGAACCTGATCGAAAATTTCCTTCCCTCGAACGTGACCACCTGGCGTGGGCACGGCTAACTACTATGGAGTTCGCAGAACCTGAGCGAAAATTCCTTTCCTCAGGCGTGACCACCTGGCGTGGGCACGTCTAACTACTAATCTCCTGCCACAAAACATCACACCATCAATTGACACTAATACATAACTAAAACTTCAAAAATGCATGAAAATTAAAACAAATAGTCTTGGGTTGCTTCCCAAGTAGCGCCTTTCTTTAATGTCTTTGGCTAGACATGGCCAGAACCCTCAAGCATGATAAAGTGGATCTTGGAGGTGTTCAACTTCTACTTCTCCAACATAGAAACCCTCATAATAAGGTTTTAGACGATGGCCATTCACCACGAATTTTTTCTCCGTTTTTAAACTCTGGATTTCCACTGCACCATAATGGAACACATTAGAAACGACAAATGGACCAATCCAACGAGAACGCAACTTACCGGGAAAAAGTTTGAGCCTTGAGTGATACAAGAGGACTTTTTGCCCCACTACAAAAGTTTTCCTAGAAACCTGCTGATCATGAAAGATTTTACTCTTTTCCTTATAGATCGTGGCATTCTCATACGCCTCATTTCTTATTTCTTCTAACTCTTGTAGCTGCAATTTCCTTTGGACCCCTGTTTCATCTAATCCCATGTTACACTGCTTCACTGCCTAAAACGCCTTGTGTTCGAACTCCACGGGGAGATGGCAAGCCTTACCGAAGACAAGTCTATACGGAGACATCCCAATCGGCGTCTTATACGCTGTTCTATAAGCCCATAGTGCATCTTCTAACTTTAAACTCCAATCCTTCCTATCCGGACGCACCATCTTCTCCAAGATCGACTTGACTTCCCTGTTTGACACTTCGGCCTGACAGTTTGCCTGCGGGTGATACGGTGTGGATACCTTATGCAGTACACCATATTTTCGAAACAAGGCAGTGATAGTCTTGTTGCAGAAATGTGTCCCTCTATCACTAACCACAGCTCTTGGCATTCCAAAGCGGACAAAGATATTAGATTTTAAGAACTCTGCAACCACTTTAGAATCATTAGTACGGGTGGCTTTTGCTTCCACCCATTTAGAAATATAATCTACAGCAAGTAAAATGTATAGGAAACCAAAAGATGAGGGAAAAGGACCCATAAAATCTATCCCCCAAATATCAAAAATTTCAACAAACAACATGGGGGTTTGAAGCATTTGGTCCCTACGAAAAATATTCCCTACCCTTTGACACCTATCACAGGATTTACAGAATAAATAAGCATCTTTGAACAGGGTAGGCCAATAAAAGCCACTCTCTAACACTTTGCGAGCTGTTCGCTTGAGCCCAAAATGCCCTCCACATGCAAATGAATGGCAAAAATTTAAAATAGAGTGAAATTCACCTGCACCTACACACCTCCTGAGCACTTGATCCGAACATTGTCTCCATAGGTACGGGTCGTCCCAAATGTAATATTTGGCATCACTCTTCAATTTGTCTCTCTTAGCCTTTGGCCATCCTGCAGGCAGTTGATTAGTCACTAAAAAGTTTACTAAGTCGGCATACCAGGGTACAGACGCGTTCACAGCAAGTAGTTGTTCCTCTGGAAATGCCTCCCTCAATGGTGGCTCCTCCTTATGAGTAAGCAGGCGGCTCAAGTGATCAGCGACTAAGTTTTCTGCCCCACTTTTATCCTTAATCTCCAAGTTAAACTCTTGAAGAAGCAGGATCCATCTGATGAGCCTTGGTTTAGCATCCTTCTTCGTCATCAAGTATCTCAAGGCTGCATGATCAGAGAAAACTGTTATTTTTGCACCTAACAAATAAGGTCTAAATTTTTCTAATGCAAAAATCACAGCTAGCAATTCTTTTTCTGTGGTAGAGTAGTTGAGGTGAGCTCCATTTAACGCCTTAGATGCATAGTAGATTGCATGTGCAGCTCTACCAATCCGTTGCCCCACCACCGCTCCCACTGCATAGTCACTCGCGTCACACATTATCTCAAATGGGAGACTCCAGTCTGGAGGTTGGATAACAGGCGGTGATGTCAATGACTCCCGCAGCCTTTCAAATGCCACCTTGCACTCTTCGGTGAAGTCATATGCTACATCTTTTTGCAACAGCTTAAACAGGGGCGCTCCAATTTTGGAGAAATCTTTGATGAATCTCCTGTAGAACCCTGCATAACCCAAAAAAGAGCGCACCTCCCGCACACTTGCGGGGTAAGGTAGAGCAGAAATAATATCGATTTTTGCCTTGTCTACCTCTATACCTCTAGCCGATACTACATGACCTAAAACAATGCCATGATCTACCATGAAATGACACTTTTCCCAATTTAACACTAAATTTGTCTCAATGCACCTCTTCAGAATTAAAGCTAGATTATCAAGGCATTCGTCAAAACTGTCTCCATACACACTAAAATCATCCATAAACACCTCAATAATCTTTTCTACATACTCAGAAAATATACTCACCATACACCTCTGAAAAGTTGCTGGGGCGTTGCAGAGGCCGAAAGGCATCCTCCGGTAGGCAAATGTACCAAAGGGGCAGGTGAAGGTAGTTTTCTCCTGATCCTCTGGTGCTATTGCGATCTGAAAATAACCAGAGAAACCATCAAGAAAACAATAATAGACACGGCCAGCTAACCTTTCTATCATATGATCAATAAAAGGTAGAGGGAAGTGGTCCTTCTTCGTCACAGCATTCAGACGCCGATAGTCAATGCACTGGCGCCATCCTGTGGGTTTCCTCACCGGGACCATCTCACCCTCTTGGTTCTCTTCAACTGTTACTCCCGCCTTTTTCGGGACTACTTGCACGGGGCTCACTCAAGGACTATCTGAGATGGCGAAGATAATCCCCACCTCTAGGAGTTTAAGTATCTCCTTCTTCACCACTTCCATCATTAGTGGGTTCAGTCTCCGTTGCCCTTGCCTCACTGGTTTTGCATCATCCTCAAGCCGGATCCGATGCATACATAAAGAGGGGCTAATTCCCTTGATATCTGCTACGCTCCACCCAATTGCCTCCTTATGATCCCGAAGAAGACGAATTAATCTGTTTTCTTGTCCTGGTGATAGGTGTGCAGATATGATGACTGGTAATGTCTCATTTTCCCCGAGAAAGGCATACTTCAGATGCTTAGGGAGAGGCTTGAGCTCCAACTCAGGCACCTGCACAATAGAAGGCAACAATTTTTCCTGAGTTTCTGGTACAAAAACAGAAGTAAGCTCATACCTTGGAGAAATTGGGGGAAGCGAATGCAGTGCTCCAACAGCGTGGTATAGCTCATCACTTATTTCTACATCAAAAGTTGCTCCCAACTCAAGATGTTTGGCCAATGCCACTGCCAGTGCGTCAACCCCATCCAATTCAAATATTTCCTGTACAAGGGGCTCAACAACACTTAAAGCACAAACAGAGTTAGTTTCATCTGGGTACTTCATCGCTTCAAAAATATTAAAATTTACAATTTTCCCATCAAACTCCATTGACAAGGTACCCTCATTTACATCTATTTTCGTCCTAGCAGTGCTTAAAAATGGCCTACCTAACAGAATAGGAGACGGATTCAGTGCCCTTTCATCCCCCATGTCTAGAACATAGAAATCTGCAGGAAAAACCAACTCATTGACCTGTACCAAAACATTTTCAACTAACCCTTCTGGGTAAGCATTGGTACGGTCTGCAAGTTGAATTATGATGCCTGTGCCTTTTAACGGGCCAAGATTTAGAGATGCATAAATTGTCTTAGGCATAACATTAATTGACGCCCCCAAATCCAACATTGCTTTCCTAATGGGAGTACCTCCTATCTTGCAGGGAATGGTGAACATACCTGGGTCCCCACATTTTTGTGGGAGCTTTCTCTGGAGCATAGCTGACACGTTTTCTCCCACCGCCACTCGTTCATCTCCCCTTAGCTTCCTCTTGTGGGTGCACAAGTCCTTCAAAAATTTGGCATATTTTGGTATCTGCTTGATTGCATCCAGTAGGGGAATGTTGATCTCCACTTTCCGAAAACACATCCAAGAGCTCTTTTTCCTTTTCTACCTTCTTTATCTTTTCCAACCTGCAAGGAAAAGGGGGTAAATTAGAGCTAATAATGAGTGGAGAAGTGGAAGTTACCTTAGGATCCTCATGAACACGTCCTTCCTCCTCAATTTCCTTTTCTATCTCCTCCTCGCTTGTACTTTTTGAATTTTTTACTTTAGACCCTTCCAACTCCTTGCCACTCCTCAGCGTCATGGCACTTACATTCTTGGGATTCACCTCGGGCTGCGATGGCAGTTTCCCATAAACGTGGGACTCCAAGCGGTTAATGGCAGTTGCCAGTTGGCTTATTCGAGCGTCTTGGTCCTTCTTGTCCGCTTTGATCTCCTGATGAAGGCTTTTGATTAGGTCCTCCAAGGAGCTTCCTGAATTGGAGGATGAGGATTGAGATTTTGGTTGCCAAGGCTGGTGGAATCCTGGTGGACGATTCGGGAATGAACCTTGTTGCCTGTTCCCATAACTGAGGTTGGGATGGTCTCTCCAACCGGGGTTGTATGTGTTGGAATACGGGTCATACTGTCTGCGGGGCGCGGGCACGCCTCCGGCCATATTTACCTGTTCTGCCCCGTCCTCTTACAGAATGGGGCACGAATCCGTGCAGTGGTCCATGCTAGTACAGATTCCACACACCTTTGCTCGCAGTGTGTCTCTCATGGCCAATTGCCTGACAGCAGATGTCAACTCTGACAGTTGCTGCTGGATGGATGACGTCTCTGCCTCATTGACTCTACGGGTAGGATTGCTCTCACGGAAGCCGAACTGCTGAGAGTTTTCTGCCATGGCTTCAATAAGGTCCCATGCTTCCCTCGGTGTCTTGTTCGCCAGGGCTCCTCCACTCGCAGCGTCAATAATACTCCTGTCAGTTGACTGGAGTCCCTCATAGAAGTACTGGATCAACAGTTGTTCACTAATCTGATGCTGTGGGCATCTAGCGCACAACTTGGTGAACCTTTCCCAAAAATCATACAATGACTCCCCGGAGTATTGCTTGATGCTGCAAATCTCCTTCCACAAACTTGCAGCCCGGGACGCGGGGAAAAATTTCTCCAGGAATTTCTTTTTCAATTGTGCCCACGTGGTGATACTACCTGCAGGCAGGTAGTATAACCAATCCTTCGCTGCATCCTTGAGAGAGAAGGGGAAGGCTCTCAGTCTTATTTGCTCCTCAGTGACCCCAGGAGATTTCATGCTAGAGCAAACTACTTCGAATTCCTGGACATGTTTGTGGGGTTCTTCACCAGAAAGACCATGGAACGAAGGCAGGAGCTGAATTAACCCCGATTTCAACTCGAAAGAGGTATTTTCAGCCAAAGTTGGGAACGTGATGCACAAGGGCTGATGAGTCAGGTCTGGGGTAGCCAGCTCCCTTAATGTCTGAGTGTTGGCCATGCTAAATTCGTCTTCTGTTGACTCGTTTGCAGTAGATAAATGCCTTTCTTTTTGTCTCTTGGTCTCTTGCCTCCGCCTACGCGCTGCCTTCTCAACATCAAGATCGTATACCAAGTCACTTGTGCGAGAAGAACGGGGCATAAACTAGCAAAAGTACCAAGAAAAAGAAAAAGAAAATAAAATAAAATAAAAACTGAATTAAAAAAGAAACAAATAATTCAAACGCCAAGTCCCCGGCAACGGCGCCAAAAATTGACAAGTTCCGAACCTGTGCAATAATAATAAATAAATCCTAACTACCACCTGAAACAGCTAGTAATCAATTCGAGTACTGGAGCAGGGACTCTAGATGTGCAATGGGTTACTTGATTCACCCTGTTCCCGAAGAGTTTGCTTAATCCGATATACCTGAATTAGTTATTTAACTGAACTCCCTAACTAGTAGACAGTGGTAAGCAGGGTCGTCTCCTCAGGGACTGGAGAAATATTTGTTTCTTTTCAAATCAAGATTAATGGGGGGGGTTTTGGTATCAAAAGCCAACTGAGCAAATTAAATGCAAGAAATAATTAATTAAAAGAAATAATTAAGAGAAACTCTAGCCAAGGGTATACTTCAGAAATGGTTCATGCACTGATCATTGATGCAAAAATAATTCCAACACTTATTAATAGATTGGTTATAGTTGTCTCGCACGCGCTACACAACCAACCCTTCCTTAATTTATCGATAGCTAAGGTACGACCGTTAGCTATTTCTCTAACCCAAAAACAACCCTAGGTACGACCGTAGGATTTAATTTCTAGATTGCATTAATAGTTAGAAAGGCCCAATCCTGACTAACAAACACGCTACGAGGGTTCATTCAAGCCATATCAAATATTCCCCTGACACAAATCCAATTGTGTCAGTTGCTACTGGAATAGAAGTAACGAACAATTACGGATTCAATCACCCCTATATAGCAAAATAGCCTATATGAACAATTAATTATTGCGCACTAATCAATCATACATAAGGCTATAACACTTAGAAACAGGAAATATATAAATACTAATAAATGGAAGAAATAGTTAAAATAAATTCGATCTCACAGTAATTTCTGAACCAAATCGTCAGTTGTCCCCTTGACTAGAATTGGAGAATTAGCTCCTCATTACTGAAGGGCAAGCGGCGCGTGGAGTTTGGGGGAGGTTTCCAGAGCACTTTTCCTTCGCTTCGGTCAGCCCCAGAGGAAAACGCAAGGAAGCTTTTTATTGCTGCCAATTTTCCTCCAAAGCATGCGGCGGATGGTCCCTCAATTCTTTGGTCAAAATCGAGTAAAGAGAGAGAGACCACCAAGTCCACAATGGCGGCTGCACTTTGCTTTCTTTCTTTTTATCACCAAAGAGACATACGAGAGATTAGAGAATTGGTTTCATTTCTCAATTTTATCCAAGCACAATGAAAAGCTCACAGCATCCCCAAAGTCAACAATTGCGGCTGCCTTACTTTCTTTCTTTTGTATTTTTTTGTTATGCAAGCATACGAGAAGCCATTTCAATTGCTTGATTTCTTGATCAAAGATAGTTAAAAGCAAAACATCCAGAGTTGGTTGCTCACAAGTCAACAATAAATGGCTTCTGTCCTCTGCCTTTTTCCCCTCCGGCTGCGGCGCACAGTCTCCTCTTTTCAAACAAAGAAAAAACTCTCCCTAACCTAAGTCGCCCGAGAGAGATAAAATACAATCTCTCTCAATAGCTGAAAAACTGTTACTTCTTAAAAATTGCAGCCAGACTCCCTAGAAAAATATTAAAATAAAATCTATTACAATTAGGTATCTTGAGCTTCTCAAACGGGCCCCACGTCCGATGAATCTTCTAAAAGTTGAATTTAAGCACTTTTCAGCAACCGTTCCTGCAATTAGCACCAAAACAAAATATCAGTAGAATCCACCCAATTAACGAAAATATTTAGTCAATTAATTATGCAACAATGCCCAAAATACCCACTAAAATGCAACCTATCACTAACCATATAACTTTTAAATTCATTCACTTCCAATCCAACCACGAGAAGCTAAACGTAACTATTCTCAGATGAGATAGACAAGAAAGTAGGGTACATTTAGAGCAATATCTTGAAATACTATGCCACTTATTCTTATCCGGTGATTTTAATACAAGGAGTATCCTTACCACTTATGTGCATAATGAAATCCTAAAGCGTACTTTGTACGTCAAAAGTTCCACATCCTATCTCAAGCTTTGGCATACAGGTATAGGAGCCCACTCTTTTTCTCAAATCCCATACATAATTCCATAACTCTCGATCTTAACACGGTAATAATTAAGCCAAGTCCATACTTTGGCATTAGTGGATAGGTGTCAAGGAGGTATAGGCAAGGGTAGTTCATTGAGAACCAAGCTACAGGTATCAGATATTACAAGAGAGGTAGAAATACCTATATAGTTACAGTTAACCGTCTCAAAATCCAATAAGCACTTATCAAGTCCTCACAGTCATAAGAGAAGGAAACAGATCTTCAGTGCAAATTTCCCGACGTACACAACAATTTGGTCACCGTCTATAGAAACCCTAGTCAGACTATTACTAGATTAGTCCATAATAACCTTTCGAGATCCATTCTCTCAATCAGTCCAATAACTAGGTCAAGTGTTAGAATCTTGCGCGCCTTGACTTTTGCCATTAAAACTTATCTCAAGTGCAATCAAAATACAGACCCTTATTCTAGTGCTCTCCTCTTTTTGGTACTCAAGTACAAGAATCCACAATAAGGTAATTCACAACTTGAGCCGGCCGATTCCAAGAGTAAATCACCCATATTAGAGATTGCTACCCGACGTACATATCTATTTCTTCCAAGTATCTTGATAAAGGGTTTATGCTTATAGCAGTCTTGTTTCATAGCTTATACCCAATAACACCATTTGATCCCAAGCTCACTTCGTGCAAAGACCACGCGAAACAGCAAAAATATCTTCCATTCATTCAAATCAATTCTCGGCAGCTTCGGGATCTGGTCTTCTAAGAAATTTAGGGGAAGAGAACTTTGGAACCGTTTCAGGGCCCTGTCTTCACTTACTTCAAGGTTCCTTTACTAGTTACTCGGTACTTGACCTCGATGGTCAATCAAACGGTACTTGACCTCGATCTGGTCAGTAAATAGTAGATCAGTCATACGATTGATAGTTGTAGCCACCTGGTCTCCTTCTCCACATTCGGGTCCTTGGTTCTAATTGGCTACAGACCTTTATTTCTCCTCTTAGTCCTGGACTTACCTAGATCCACACCCATGGCTCTAACCATATTGTCATCTAGTCTCCATTATTACTCACTAGTCTAGGGCCCAAGTATTATAGCTAACAGGGTAAGCAAATAGGGGTATAACAATATATGCTTACTCATATTTAAAAGTCACATAAGAAATGAAATCGGAGTCACGATAAGCGAGTGAATTTACAAAGCAGTTGAAGGTCAATATCAAAATAAAGTCAACAGTCAACAGTCAAAAGTCAGAGCCAAAAGTCAACGGTCAAAAGTCAAAATCTAAGTCAATAGTCAAAACATCGTACATAAAAGGCTCTTAACAGTCATTTATAAGATAACAGGACCAAAAGTAACAAGTACAAGCCTCAAAAGTACAGATATAGAAGTACAGTCATATCAAACAAAAACCTAGTACAAGTGTCAAAAGAAAACTGTACAACCACCGAGCCACAACCTCCCCTATCGTTTCTATGTGCAATAGTCAAAATCATCCAAGGTAGTAGCCTAGGAGTAGAGGCTTAATTCGTCGCAGGACTAGTTGACCCCCCAGATTAGGCGGGTTCGTCTCTAATCTCGCCTCCTATGTAAGAAGCCTCGTCACTCACTTCTTCCAGCAGATCATCACAAATATAGAATGGACTCTTCTCTAATCCTCACTTTCCTGGCTCTCTTAACCATGCGCTCTTGAGCTTCACCAAGCTGCGCGCTCAGGTCATCAACCCTTTCTCGGCCCTTGACCATATCATACTCAAGTTCCTTAATCCGCTCAGCCTGCATTTCAATAGTTTTCTTCAGGTAATTCATTTCAAATCCAAGTCTAGTATTATCCCTTGATAGGACCTTCCGCTCCTTCACAATGGCCAGAACTACTTCATTAGGATAGATATAAGTA